GCGTGCACCATTTTTCCACACGCGCCCCCGCCTGGCCCTGTCACGGCCGTGACCGAGGGGGACACATAGCTTGGAGGTCAAGGATCCGCGATAATCGGAGCGGCGAGGGCTTCCGTCGTCGGCAAGAAATTTTCGTCGGCTGGTCCATTGGAGTTCCTACCGGGCAGCGCACAGACATCTTGGGTCTTCAACGTTCGGCTTCTAGGAACCTTACACCAACGGTAATTGTTGGTGGCCAGCCAGCCCCCGCGGACGTCGTCTACCATTTTTCTCCCTCGCAGTACGTGCAGCGAAACGAAAAGGTTTCGAACGGTCGACAAATTTGAATACTTCAGCCGACCCCCCTTACTCTGATTGCCCACTGTACTCCGTGATGAAAAACATTACAAGGTGTTTGTCCCATGCTGCGGTCTGTCGTTTGCAGCCCTCTTCGTCACCGTAGGTATACTATCGTCATCTAGCCACTGCCCTTCCCCACTTGCCTTTCATGGCCGACGTCTTTCGAAGGCTGCCACTGCTACTCCTGGTCATCCTTTTGCTTGTCATCTTCTTCCACATTTGCATCCTCGGCAGGGTGCCTGGACGTACACGTGAGAGGCGGTCTGCGAAGAAGGACGTCAATATGGACAGGCGACAAGCGAAGAGCAGGTGTTCAGTGGACGACTCCAGAAGCTACCACGCAGGCCACAGCCCGGCTTGCAGTGCAAGGGCTTACGACCCATTAGAGTGCGGGTGTTGTATGCTGTCCTCTATCGTCTACTCCCTCATCACCGTCGCTGTAGAATTACGGCCCTGTTGTACGTGTTGTTGATGGCCGACCACTATTGAAGGTTGCCACTGCTGCTCCTAGTCACAAATTTGCTTATCGTGGTCCTCCTGTTCCACGTGTGCTTCCTCTATTGTTGATGGCCGGCCTCTATCGAAGGCCTCCAACAGAGAAGACGAGGGATCGACATCGACATCGGCAGCCCATCCCAAGCGCGTTCGTCCAGACTGGATGCAATCGCGATCGCCCGAAAGACACGTGGCGACATGCGCAGCTTCTCCTAGAAGTACTGCTCCGTCGCATCATCGCATTGCCTGAGATCCTCCCACGCCCCCCCTGTCCTCCTTTTCATCCACCACCTCGGCGTCGTTCGTGGAAGAACACTGCAACCCATGGCGCAGCAAACCTGAACTGCAGCCTCGGTGATGGCCACGGTATCCAACCCTTCGACCGGGACTCGATGAAGTGTCTTCCTTCTCCGCGCGCGGATCTGCACTCTCATTCTGCCCAATGCCCTCTCCTGCTGACAACGAAAGAGCATGGTCGTCACGGCCGCCGCCACAGCTGTCTTCTCGATCATCGTCAACTTCGCACGTCCGTCCTCGCTGCCGCACTCCATCGACACGACGTGTGTTGCAATGCTCATGAACCACGATAATACAACAGCCTACCAACTCGCCACGACCATGGTAACCTCAGCGCCAAGTCCCCGACGACGTTCCCCACTTCGGCATGCAGAGGTGTATGGCGATGGACCTTCGCGGAGCGCTCACAAATTTGTGAACACGTACGAGGACTCCACTGCACCGCTGTAAATGCCCGTTTCCACCGTCGAGGCTAATGATGTATCTTTCTTCCAAACTCAGCGCTCACCAATGTTGAGTTTTCATAAGTTGAATGATTTTGTGTATTTTAACTTCACTTGGAATGAGTTTTTGAGTATAGTGGCGTCCAGTACGCGATTTGAAATTTGATTTTTGAACGGGGAGCCAGGGGAGGTCCATTGCTTTTTAAGGTTTTTTTTTTTTTTTCCGGTCGCCAGCACCTTTTAAAATTTCCCGCCTTCGGTAGCTGGACCACACCGTAGTAAGATGGACATCACCCAATGGACCAAGGCATTCCCCCCCCCCCCCGCGGCTGACTATAATATTATGAAAATGGCCGCCGGCGGCCGAAAGGAATCATCCTTGGGAGACCATCCCAAGGATAGGTGGAACGACGGCAGGAATTTCCTTCAAAACCCCCAAGGAAACTTCCTTCGGCCCCGAGGACGCCCCAAGGATGCCCCAAGGAGTGTCTAACGAGCCCCAATGTCGGTCTGTGTGTGTGTGTAGGATGAGCAAATCAGGAATGAATCTTCACCCAGAACATGGAAATAAACACTACCGCACTTCTTTTTTCTTCTTCTTTTTTTTTTTTTTTGTGTGTGTGTGTCTTCCCCTACAACATGGAAGTATCCACTGCCACAACATGCAAATATTCACTGCCAAAGACCAAAAATGTGGCAGTGTATACACTGCCGTGTGTGTGTATTCGAACAACAACGTGCTGTGGTGGAAAAACTTCCGGGTGGTGCGCAGCCATTTTCAATTTTCCCCTGCACGTACGAAGTTTCCGGAATGAGAGCAAGGCGCACAGCCATACTTCCCCCGCGTCCATACTCTTCCACCGCGCAGCACCGCTGTTCGAACTCACGCGAACGGGAAAAACAAAAACTACATTCTGTGCAAGTTCCCCTCAGGCCCGCACGCACAACCGTTCGAATTCGCGGGGACGGAAAAAAACTGCATTCCGTGCAAGTTCCCCCTGGGCCCGCACCTTGTCCGCCGCCAATTTCCCAACACAGGGCCCCCGGGTTCACAGCGGCGTCACGTGAGACCCGCTTTTCCCTTTATTATAGAGTAAGTATAGAGGGAAAAAAAACAACAAGAGGACTCACCTTTAAGCACTGGAAGAAAGTGCCTCACAAACTTTCCACTTGGGTCATATTTCTTCGGGAACGTAATAGGAGAGTAGATGCGATGATACTGCAGCAGATGATGGAACAACACAAAGCGCCATCTTCAGTTTCCCTTTCACTTTCCAAACTGCCAATTAACCACTCATCAATTAATTAATTGCTTGATTGGTTACTGATCCAACCGAATGATTGGCTGATCAATTGGCCAAACAGTTCACTGGTTGATCTATGGATAGACGGAAAAGAGGGGAGGGAAGGAGGGAGGGAGGGAGGGTGGGACAGAGGGAGGGCGGGAGGGAGAGATGAATGGATGAATGCATGAATGGAAGGAGGGACAGCAGGCAGGCAGGCAAGAATGGTGGATGGATGGATGGATGGATGGATGTGGAAGGATGGAAGGACAGGGACATATGCTGTACATATTTTTAGGTTGGAGACACAGAGACAAAGAGGGAGGATGGGGGCCAATGGAAGGATGAGAACTACATACCTGCAAGCTTCAGAGCCATATTTACAAAGACAGACTCGTTGGGCATGTCATTGGTTTCCATTCTTCCTGCGGGGGGAGGGGAGTTGGGCTTCTTTTTAGAATAGATAAATGGAGGCTTTTCTCCTTTCTTTTTTTTTCTTTTTTCTTTTTTACTTCAAAAATGCATTCACCAACCTATTGTCCCATAAGGACCTTCACCAACTCCCTTGGTAGTAAACCGCACTTTGCAGTAAACCCCAACGTGGGTTAACGTTTTGCAGAAACAGGGTGACCATCTAGCTCCACAACACAGGCAATGGTTCACATGTTTCTTTCTTCTTTCTTTCTTTCTTTCTTTCTTTTGCCCGTTGTGTTCTTGACCTTGGCCTTGGGCTGGCCAGCAGGACTCCATCTATGCAGCCAATCATCTTTGCAATGACTTCCTACCAAGTTTTTAGGTCTTTTGGGTGTGGGCACATTTGACCCTAGCAATCTTAGAGGGGTATGGTAGGCAACACATTAATTTATGTTTGAAGTCTGGAATCTTGATCAATAATGAAAAAGTTGGCATTTCCTTGGATTCGTTGAAGGATTCATTTCAACTTGGAAAGTGTTTTTGGGTGAGGGTTTTAATAGGTTTTTTTTTTTTTTTAACTATACTATGTTCATCTCTCAAATTCTTTTTGCCCCATGACCGCCTGTGGCGCACTTAGTGGCAATGGACTGTGATAGTCCTCTGGATACCCCTGATCGGTATTAGTGGAGTCTATGACCAACATGGGTGTGAGTGCGGGCGCGAGTGGGTTGTGTGTGGTGTGCGGGAGAGTGTTGGCCATAGCCACTGCTGCTACTCGATGAGGGGTGGGGGACGATGAGAAAGGGAGGTGCAGCTACTGGCAGGTCTCGGTCTTTGCATTAGCCAGACCCCCACTGGCGGCCCCAACCCTACACCCTTAACCACTAGGGCAAGGGGCAACATGCAATATCCCCTTCACAGTGAGAGGACAACAAATGATATATATATATCATATATATGACGATATATATATTGTCACATAACTACAAACTAAAAGAGCGCACTTTGCGGAACAAAGAATAAAAGCAAAAAACGGGCACAGTGATAACATGCAAAAATAAAAATAAAAATAAAAACAAAAAGAAAAAACAAGGGCAGATTGAAACCATTAAATTTCTCATTCGTCTTTGRACTCCACCTCCACTGTGCCTCCCTCCGGTATTTTCTTTTTTATCTCCAATTCTGTGAGGAATTCTCATGTGACCCTCAGTCTAAGGGGCCCGGGCATAAATTGGGTGCCTGGGCGCCCGGAAAAACAGCCTAGGTTTGCACTATGGGCCCACAGAGTTTGTTTTTGAAAATTTCACTGAATTTTGCACTGAAACTGTCGGCGAAAACAGCAAATTTTTGGCCCTCCCTCCGTCAACCGCATGGAGAGAGAGAGAGAGAGAGAGAGAGAGAGAGAGAGAGAGAGAGAGAGAGAGAGAGAGAGAGAGAGAGAGAGACTTGCCTGTGAGAAGAAGGCACTTGCAGAAAGCCAAAGCCAGTTCCCATTATTAATCGACCAGTCCGAGTCAATGAGCAGCCGATCAAACACATCCCTGCCTTTCTCCCAGTGCAAGAACTGCATCAGCACACGAAAGTTAAACAGTGGATGCAGATGTCAGGTTTTCTCTCTTCCTCTTCCTCTTCCTCTTCCTCTTCCTTCTCCTCTGCACGCATCCTGTTTTTTTATTTACGACTCTAGCAAAAGTTTGACTCTCATCTTGTGTCCAATTCCCTTTGCAACTCGGAAGCAATCTGCATCATTCCCCTGTTTCACCGATGAGTAACTTTTGTCATCGTTGACACATCAACCCGAGCGCGCAAATGTTGGATATTAACCAGCATTTCAGCTCAAGCCTCTTTGAGGATCAGAGGTTATTCTCAGACTGAGCTGTTTGAGAACCACGCACAGGGACTGGAGCATTTGTTTCAAAAAAAAAGAAAAAAGAAAAAAGAAAAAAAAGAAAAAAGAAAAAAGAAAAAGAAAAGAACCACGCACAGGAATAGAAAGGAATAGAGAATGAATGATCTTGCATCACAAATGCACTCGCATCACACAGCAAACACGACGCGATCACAAAAGACTCGTCGAAGAAACAGATGCCATATCACTTCTTTGAAGACAAATTCATCGTCAACCCCTAGGAAAAGCCCGGTGGTCAACATTTGTGAAGCTCAGTGATAACAACAGATAAACAGTCAGACCATTATTCAGCTAACGCTGCTGACGGACCACCTCTACCCACGATGATGTCCTGACGGACTAGAAGGCCGAAGCCTCCGGGCTGCCTTCTTTTATCGAGGCTCAACAACTGTATCGTTCTACACACCAAACACGCCCAGGAACCTGGCCGTGTTACAGGTCCGGTACCTTAAAAAAATGCAGGCCCAGGCTCAAAAAAGCGCTCTTCTGTCCCGTACTAGTCACAGGGTCCGAGCCCCAAAACATAGTCCCTTCACCCATTTGAGACCTTGAGTGCAAAAAAGAAAACCAACAACAAAAAGCATCTGATCCACCAATGTCCAGGTGCTTCGTTCAGAACCATTTGTCTAAACGCAACGGAACTCCGACTCCTGCTAATAATCAGATTCCATGTTCGAATCCTACCTTGCTCCCCCAAGACGCACAAAAGGAATCCACTACCTATGCACACAAACAAATTAAGTGTTCAAAACCATTCATGGCGTCCGCACCGGGTTCCAGACAGTCCGGTGTCCGGTGTCCGGTCCCCATGTCCGGATGGAGGCCCCTGGGCCAAAAAAAAAAAAAAAAAAGGGGGCGGCCCAGGACGTTTGTCGGGTCCTAGCCGCCCCTCGAAAAATAACGGGGTGATTTTTAAGTGTCCTTTCACCCCACCGGACATGGCCTAGAGGTCCAGACGCAAGACACTGCAGGTTTTTGAGGTGGCGGGTTTCACACAGGCCCGAGCAATTTCAAAGCGGCCGTTTCGACGTGGGGCCCGCTGCTGCTGGCCGTTGGGGGGGAGAGAGAGAGAGAGAGAGAGAGAGAGAGAGAGAGAGAGAGAGAGAGAGAGAGAGAGAGAGAGAGAGAGAGAGAGAGAGAGAGAGTGAGCACTGACAGTGCTGCCAGTCTGAAGACTCTGACATTCTGAATTGAACTGCAAAGTTCGAACTTTAAGTTTATATATGAAGTTATGAACTTAAATTACTAAATCCAAAGTTCAAAGTTCAAAGTTAATCATACTTTTTTCAAAAAAAAATTCTCTGTTTCTTTAGTCTTGTGCCTGCTTTGCACTGTTTGCAACTCTGCATGTCTGCTAGTTAAATGCGCTGGTTGATTTGCTGCAAGACACGTGCTCTGCTGCCTGAACTACAGAGTGCAAAGCAGGTAAGTGCCTGCCAACACCCCCACCCAACCCCTCCCCCCACCCCCGTTTTTTTTTTTTTTTTTTTTTTTTTTTTTTTTTTTTTTGGGTCCGGACATTTTTGCACCCCGGGGACTGGCCCGGACTGTCCGGTGTCCGGTGATGTCCGGATCACCGGACAGTCCGGACCGGTCCAGACACTGGTCCGGAAGACAGTCCGGAAGTGTCCGGTGTTCGGGTCCGGGGTTACCATGCAACGATTCATTCAAATCAAACCAACGCAACTCGGAGATCTAACTAACCTACATCCGCAACATCCAAAGGGTATTCCCTGGTCTGCCAAAGTAAGGCCATGCTCACATGGGGACATCATGAACTAAGTTTTGCCAGAGTTACCGCCCAAGAGTGTGTGAGCGAGTATGCACTTACATCAAGTTACATGCAATCACTGCTGGGGCAATGGCACAGATAGCAATATAGTCTGAGCATGTACACACACAGTAGGGCTTCTTCAACGGATCTCTTGATGTAATTGAAGCCGACCTCGCTGAGCTGTTTTGGTTTTGGTAGGGGAGACGATGCTGAACCTCGTGAGGATAATGAAAGGGGACACAAAAGCTTTCCGGTATAGAATAGCAAGTTCTTGGCTGGACGTTGCGTTCCTGATGCAGGTCATGGTGGGGGCATGACAATCAACAACAGGTCTCACATCTCTACCTTCCACAGCATAGCATGGCTCTGAAAAGCACGAGCTACTTGCCAAGATATGACGCTCTCAAATGAGAGGGATTGGATAACTGAAACAACGCTAAGGGAGAGGCTGCGATATTGCCACAATATAGGGGAAGCACTTGAGAAAATCATATTTTCGATACCGCTAGACTGGGTAATAAGTAGAGCGGCCTGGCAGGCGGTGATTCAGCCCAAAGCAAAAGGTGGTCTAGGAATCTTAGATCTCGTCACTCAAGCCATGGAATTACCTATTCAATGGATCAAACGGTTACTCTTCAACCCGGAGACCTCGTGGTTAGCTCTAGCCAAAGAACAGATCTCGAGACTTCCCCGGAAGTACCAAGAGAGACTGATCCACTGATATGGCTAGAAAATCGATATTGGTCCATCCCAAGAGGCAACGTGCAGCTCCCGGGCCAGTCAGTGAAGTCCCATCGCCAGACCACAAGAATAAACATTAAAAACGACCCTTTTTGGACAGACCTTCTCAAGACGTGGCGCAAGTTGCCCCTACCGGATAAAATCTCCCCAACCAGATGGGAAGAAGTCTGTCAGCAACCCCTTTTAAATAACATGTGGATCACTGACTCACAAGGAAGAATGCTTCACTGCATGAATTTTCCTTGGAAGGGTTGGGTAAAGCATGGGGTGCTAAGGATTGGAGACATTTGGAACCCAAAAACATTGGACTGACACTCTCTTTCCGATATCTTGCCTAGCTTACGGTACTGCAGGAGAACAGCAAGTGCACTCGAGAATATTACCGAAGCCATTCCGATAGATTGGATAAGGATCCTCAGGAAAGGTCCCCAACTAACAGAGAGTGATTAGGTGGGAATCCGGGGAAACCCCCAGCATATAGGAAATGTTGTAATGAGAAATGGAGGGGGATCAATTCTACTCTCACTATTCTCTATTAACCAGAGCAATAGGATAAAGGAAAGTCCTACTAAGGAAACTAGATGGATAAATGCTGATCAGGTGTTCAGGATTAGAGCTCTGAAGCATAAAGACTACTGGATTGCCTTCAAACCAACGTGCGCAATTAATAAACTGCCACTAGACCCAATCTATTGGTCATGGTCAGTCCCTATGAGGAGCCGAAAAATTTGCACTCGAAAAATCCACTCTCTGATGTCAAATCAACTTATAGAATGTTGAGGCCCAGATTAGATTTGAGAGATCGGGTAGAAGCCAGGTGGATGAAGCATCTGAATGTGAGTAAAGAAGACCTTAGGTATATCAAGTGGTTCAAGACTATTAAGACTAGGCCGTCAAAAATTGCCTTATAACAATGGCAAATTGACCATCGGTGCCTTCCCACAAATGATTGGCTTATAGATAGAACCTCGCTGGAGGAAAAAGGCCTTGCTTTCCCTTGGTGCAAATTATGCTCCTCTGTGTTCCCATCTAGGAACATCCCACAAACCATAGAACACATCTTTCTTCAATGTCCGGGTGCAATCTGGTTATGGCACTGGTGGGACAGGATTTGTAATGCCCTTGTTATGTGAGACCTGGACACCCGACCAGCTGGACGATTTTTCTCACAATTTGGCTCCATGAGTAAAGGGAGATAGCAGACATGGGACTCGGCTTTACTATCACCCGGATGAAGATGCCATGTAGGCAAACAAGCTAGCATATTAACTACATGTGTGGCCCTATTGAGAAACCGACTCCTTTAAGGATGGTCCATAAAGACACTGGCTACCATAAATGAATGTCTGTGTAAACAGGAAAACTGATGTTCTGGGACGCTGGACCCGGTTTCCAGCAGGTGCAGCTCCCCACCAATAGATGGAGCCTCCCCGAGAGTGATAGAGGTGTCTGCTC